AGAGAGAGAGAGAGAGAGAGAGAGAGAGAGAGCGAGAGAGATAATCCAAACCAAAAGTGGAAGTGGGGAGGTGGGGAGGTGGGGAGGTTACAAAAATAAAACATCATTGTAGTGACTTTGCAACAGCACCAGACTGGGAAGCACAGAGAAGTGGCCTTGAGTATTTGATCAAGACTTCTACCACCTGTCCTTGGGTCATAAATGAGATATAAGTCGAACAACCACAAAACTTTTCCATACCTACTGACTTATTCCAAGTTAAAAAAAAAAAAAAAGCCTATCTGGATGCCTGTGTGCTAGTGCGTACAGGTATATGCAAAGATGTATATATCCATACAGAAAGTGAGCCAGGAAGTGTAGAGCTCTCATGGCTACGGTGCTAGCTGAGGTGTAGGTAACATTACTTGCTGTAATTTTAGGGGAATTGGAAATTCTCGCAGCTAACAGAAATGACCAGGTGAGTGATGACAAGGAATAATTTTTAAATATCTGCTCCTTAGAGTATGGGCAGGATATCAAGGCTATCTAAATTATTGTGCACCACTTTATAAATCTGTTCCTGTTCTAGGAACACTCACTCTGCCTCTACCTCAATTTTAATAATAGTGATTTTAATGAATAGCCTCTCATTCTAGCCAAGGGGGAAACTGGCAAGAGAAGAAATGCATTAGCATCTGCTTGATGCATTCACTAGTTACATTTCTATAGATTGCAAAATGATGGATTAGCCTAGAGATTTTTATTATTGGTGCCAAAGTATTCATGAAATCATTGAAACATGAAATCATTGATTTGCTTTTAAGTACCCTAGCACCCGCCCTCAAAAGATGTGAAGATACAAAAGTAACTAAGTTATAAAGCTGTTATAAAGTTTGGAGCTGGGTTGTAATATAGTTGCACTATACTGTCTTCCCTGATGTGGAGATGTCTGATCATTTTCATAAGAAAAATTCAGATGGGGTAGCGAGTTTGTGAGAGCATTTGTTGCTCTTCCAGAGGACCCAGGTTTGTTTCCCAGCTCCCATATGGTGGCTGACACCCATCTGTAACGCCAGTTCTAGGCATCTGATACCCTCTTCTGGGCACCAAACAGTTGAATGTGGTACATATACATACATGCAGGCAGAACACTCATACACACTAAATAAATCTAAAAGAAAGACATTTAAACGAAAGTATCAGTAGGAAGCCAGACATTCCAGTGCTTGCCAGTGGGCAGTCCCATCAAATACAGGATAATCTAACATCACAATTTGGGTTATCTTAGTAACAGGCTTAATTTAGTTTGAAATAATGTGCAGAATCTCACTTTGACCTGTTGAGATTTGTTTTTACCATTCTCTCTCCAGACCCAGGGACCATCAGCCTTTATGACCTTCCTTGGAGTGACAAGAGTCTCATCTTCTAATGCAGTGGTTCTCAACCTGCAGGTTGAGACCTCTTTGGGGGTTAAAGACCTTTTCACAGGGGTCACCTAAGACCACCCTGAATAGCAGATATTTACATTACGATTCATAACAGTAGCAAAATTACAGATATGAAGTGGCAACAAGGATAATGTCCTGGTTGGGGGTCACCACAACATGAGGAATTGTATTCAGGTTGAGGACACTGCTCTCATGTACCTCACCTTCCAGGCTATAATATTATACTCTCACTAAAGAAGAGTCTGTCCTAAAGAGGAATACAGGTTTCATGCCTTGCAACATCACTTCCAGCAAGCTGATCTTCCAGCTTCTGCTTTCCCTAAGGCCCTGGAACCAGAGTGGATCCTCCTTATCGCTTGGTAGTGTGTTTACAAGAGACAAACTCCCCCCAGGCAAGAGGCTTGGGGATTTGAATGCAACAGGACATACAAGGTTAGATTCGTTCCTACACATCCCACTTTGTGATCTTTGGTTTTCTCTGGGCAGCAATTTCTATTACAGTTTTTTAAAAAGGTGACTATTTTAGCCGGGCGGTGGTGGCGCACGCCTTTAATCCCAGCACTCGGGAGGCAGAGCCAGGCGGATCTCTGTGAGTTCGAGGCCAGCCTGGGCTACCAAGTGAGCTCCAGGAAAGGCGCAAAGCTACACAGAGAAACCCTGTCTCGAAAAACCAAAAAAAAAAAAAAAAAAAAAAAAAAAAAGGTGACTATTTTAAACAAAACTAACATATATTATTTCCCCAAATCCATCCAAAAACAATTGATTGAACATCTATTGTGAGTCAGGCATTAAGGGAAAGACTTCCTTTTGCTCCTACTGACACAGATAATGTGGGGCCCCTGTTAACAAATCATCCTGGTTATTATGGGATGTCTGGGATGGCTGCACTGAAGCAGAGCTGGAATTTTCCATAGTGTAGAGACTAAGAACGGAGAACAGAGTATAACATGACAATGGAAGTGATGAGGCCCCAGGCCAGAGGCAAGACTGGGTCATCAGAATCTGCAGCTGCTCGGTTCTCATTGGCTTTTCCACCCCAGAATATTATCTAATGGACAATTGGTGGGAAAGAGTGTGGCGCTAGATTCTGATAGAATCGCCATTGGCAACCCAAGATCTAAACACAGTTCCACCCCGGGCAAACAATATAGTTATAAATGGTTTATTATATTTGTAGTTGAGAAGTCTAACGGGGGGGGGGGGGGGGGGGGGGGGGGGGAGGGAAGGCAGGGCACAGTGGTCACCAATGATCATCTGATCTACCTGGGAAACTCCCACCCAACCAGCTGCTATGCCCCGCCTCCAGGTCCAAGATACCCTTGGCGGGTTATGTCAGGCTCCGTTCTTTTGGGAGCAAAGCCAACAACTAGCTGCCCTGGAGAAGAAGCGGCAAGTGATGTGATGTGAAGATACACGGAGACTGTGGGAGAAGAACTGTATCACCTGACTCACTGGCTTGTAACCAAGAGCCTTCCCCCTGGGCTCAGAATTTCTGTTGATGGTAAATTCTTTCCTGGTAACCTGTGCCTTCCTTTCCCTTGGATGGCTTTTTATTGCCACTTACGGAAGGCTGAGCCTCTGACAAAGGTGGGCACTGAGTTTCCACGTGCTGAGAGGACTATTTCGCTGCCTGTTCAAGTACCTGGAATAGTGTGGGCGGGTGGGAGGGGGTGGGGAAGACCAAAGAAACATCATTAGTGGGCCACCTGCCAAATCACGGGCTCGTGGGGAAGCCTTCAGCTGAGGACTTGCTTTTGCATTGCCCGGCTTTCAGTTAGGTTGCCCTCTTGGTGAGTTGTTGGAGCTGGGGAAGGAGTGAGTGGGACAGGAGCAAGCTGGGAAGGGGCCAGTGAGAGAGACAGTGGAAGAGGAATGGGAAGCAGTTGTACAACCAAGCCTCCGGCCCCGGGAAGTACAATTTGCTTCAAACTCTTTAAGCTGCCTTGGTCCTCAGTCTCTTTGTCCGCTCTTGCTCTCTTCATGTCAGGCCCCTCCAGAGCCGCTTTAAAGGTACCAAGGGGCTCCTGGGCATCATTTTCCTTTTTACCTGACTGCCTTTCACACAGATGGCCCCTATAGTATCAGGGAGGCTTCGCTTTTTCTCTATCTCTTTCATTTCATAATATATGTGTACACCCAGTGTAGTGATTATAATAAACAAATTAACATGTGTCTCACCACTCTAACTGGAATTAGATTCCCAGAACTTGTTTACCTTATAACTAAATGCTGGCCTCCTTTGACCAACTTGTCCCTGATCCCTGGAGACCATTGCTCTACTCTCTGCTTCCAGGAGTTCACTTTATCAGTGAGATCACACAGCATTTGTTTTGCACTAATTCAATAGCACGGTGTTGTCTTCCAGGCTCACCCATGCTGTCAGAACGGCAGGATTGCTTTTGTTTGTAGCCAAACGGCATTCCTTTCGATCTGGGTGCCAGTTCAGAAACTCCATCCATCCACTGATGGCATGTGCCGTTTCCACACCCTAGCTGTTGTAGTGAACATGGATGTGAAAACCTCTTTGAGATGCTGGTTTCATTTCCTTTGGGGGTAATTGCACTGAAAAAAGACTATGGGATAATTTGATTATTTTTCCCCCAAAGAACAGGCTTCTGAGAAGGAAATTAAATAATTGAAAATATCTAAAAAAGGCATTCTATGAAATATGGCAAATTTCAGCTCAAATAATTGTATTTTAAAAATGATTACAATCCCCTTCCAGGCATTGCTGTTCTTTCTAAACCTTGTCAGCTCAAAAATCTACTCACTCTCCTGATAGCTTTAATTGCTCCCAGTTGGTGGGGAGGGATGATATTTGAATTAAGAAAGGTGTGTCTGGCAAAGGTACAAGGGGTGACCCCACTGAGGATATGAATATCAGGCAAGACATGCTAAAGCTTGTGCAAGGATCATCAGGATGTGTAAGCAATGCCTAATCTTAATGGCCTGCTGCTGTTAGTCGTGAGATGGGTGAGGTGTGAAGGCAGTAGAGACTGGTCCTTATGATGGCAGATGTGAAAGAGAAGGAAATAATTCCCTTCTGATAATGAACTTGCTCCCCAATTGGCTAATGGACATCTTTCCATAAATTAAAGGAAGCCAACCATCTTACTAGTATTTCACAGCAACTGCCCACTGGGAGACTCTGTGGGATATCAGGAGAGTTCTTACAGGGATTAGATGTAATTGCTTGGAGAGTTGCTGGAGATCTCTTTAATCAGAATGGAAATGAGGATATGCTGAGCGAGGCCTTACAAGCGTGGTACTTAAGGGAGAACCTTCGCAGTGTGTCTCTCAGCTGTTGGCAGGTAGAGGGAAGGGCAGGCTAAGGCTGTGGATTCTCGGTGTTTTCCCTCCTTCCTATCTGTAGACTCACAGTGTTCCCTTCTCAGAGACCTCCTTGCCTGCACTGTAAGGTCCTTCCCTGAGATGGCTGACAGAAGGGTGGACGAAGAAAGGCTGAATAAGAAATTAAACTTCTCCTTTGGTGAAGAAGATACTGAGAATGGAGGGCAAATGACAGCACACAGCACCGGCGAGGCCCAGAGCCAGAGGCCTGAGACCGATGAGGATGGGGACTTGCAGGATCCCAAGTCTCCTCCCAGAGAGGAACTTTATCCTCAGAACAGAAACATGGAAAGCCCAGGTCCTCTTCTTTGGAGTCCAGCTTCATTCCTCCCTAAATGTCCAGAGACGCCAGTACCATACAGCAGGAGCAGGGGGCCAGTGGCCGACAACCCCTCCACTCCCAAAGTGAGTAAAGCATGGAGAGAGGAGGGACCAGGTCTCTGAGATCTGTTCGTCTGTGGGGCTACTGATCAGAGAGGAGGGTTTGGTCATTTACATCCGTGCAATGAGCTTGCCTCGCAGACCAGATACATCTTCAGTTACCTGTTTCTTAGGGGAAATGGAGGTGAGTGTAAAGTTACCAGGAAACAGAATGAAATGTCTACCTGCTTTGTTTCTCTCAACCAGTAACTGTTTGGTATTGGCTACACAAACATCTTAGTTGAAAAGATCTTAGTTAAGGGATATTGGAACTGGAAGAGATGTAGAGGTCCACAGCCATCCTGTGTACTTTGCACATAAGAAAATCAGTTTCTAAGAGATGAACTGTCTTACCTCAACCTCTGTCAGAGACAAGACTGGATACTTCATTTTTGATTTAGTCTATTTTCCTTCCCATTATGCCAGTTGACTGTGTTTCTGGGTGATTGTTTATCAATATTTTTGAATACAGGAATGTTCATGTTCACCATTGGCACAGACTCATATCTGCTGCTGTTGCCCTTTCCAGCACAGAGTCCCCTCTGCTTTGGGCTTAGAGCAGGATTGGAACCTCTGTTATACTTGGGGATAGCAGAACATGTTTAAGAATTGAAAGTGGCAGCAATTAAGCAATGGTTGCTTCGAGTTCACATATTCTTTTATTTACACTCCGTCACACTGCTCGTTTATTAAAGCTGGGGCTTGGAGATGGTTACATCTAGTAGATTCTGATGACATGGTATGTGATTCCCTAGGCTGAATATTAGCTCGGCTCCCTGGCAGCTCAGCTTGAGGCACTTAAGATCATTATAACATGTGTGATCCTGCTTGCAGCACAGTCACTGTCAGCGGGTCTCTGTGGTGCCTGCTGAGGGCCAGAGTGTGTCTAACAGGAAACACTAGGCTCCCTGTTGAACTACAGACAATCAAATAGGTTCTGGTGTCCATCACAAGATGGTTCGGTGTTCCAGTACTGACCAGCTGATTATCTGTTTTCTTCTTCTTGAGGACCCACAATCTCTGTTTTCAAACAATTCACCAGGATGTGGGACGAGTGATATTTTGAGAGTTCTCTGTGAAGAATCACTCTCAGTGGGTAGATTAGGAGAGAAGGAAAAATGAAGGAAGCGAGTGAAGAGCAATGCTAGTTGATGTTGTCTCAACAGATGATGGAGGGTGGGCTTTGTGTAGGAATATGCAGACAAGACAGTGTGATGAGCATACATGTCTTTCATTCATTACATTATCCACAATGTGCTGCTCTGTGTTAGCAGACCCTCTGCCAGAAGATACCATTTACTTTCTGTAACAAGTGCCCCCCAATTAACAATCAACTGAAGCAGTAATAAACGTTCAGATAATGTGAAGAATGGCAGAGTATGAGGAGCAGAAATTGGGGATTTAAGTTCAAAACAGTAGGGGCAGTTTTCTAAAGGAAGTACTGTCTGAGAAAGACTTAGATAATGAACTGGAGTTAGCCAAGTAAAGAGGGGCAAAGAGACCCCCAAGCGAAGGACAAGACATCCACTGAGTAACAGAGGGGGAAGGAAAACTATTTGTTATTAGGTGGGACAGGAGTCTCTGTGTAAGAGAGACCCAGAGAATGAGGAGAGATGGGTAGGTGGAAGAGAGATGAACATTCTGTCCTAAAAGTGTTGAATAATTATCTTTGAGTAGGGGTATTTTTTAAAAGTCATGCTACATGTACAAAGTGGACTAGACCAGAGAAAAGTCTTGACACAGGGGATTATTCACAAGGATTCTGCTGAGAGCAGAAAAAGGCCAGAATTATGACAGGGGTGAACAGGACTTAAGCTGAGAGATGTTCAGGAACTAGCAATAAATTGATGGGGGTGTTGCATGGAAAAGAGAGATCTAAGATGATGGCGAGGCTTCTTGCTTGACTGAATAGGTAGAGCCTGGAATCAAGGTGGGAGACACTGAGAATATATGAGTTTAGGGGAATAAAACAAATATGTGGAATGCATAATTGCCTAAGTGGGGCATGGGAAAACAAGTGAAACCAGAGACCCCTGTTTGGCTATATATGGCATTTAGGAAACCAGTGAAGCCGTGAGTGGGGATCAGGTCACATGGTTTGAGTGCTGCTATGAGAAGAGAAGTATTACCGATCTTGGATCATGCCAAGATGAAGAACAGGTATAGAACAGAGCGTGAAAAGGTAGGTGGAAATACAACAGGGAAAATAACTACTTCCACTACAAGACATTTGAATCAGGATGAGAACAGATTAGGGTACCAACTAGTGATGTTTTGCTGAAGACACTTCTGCTGAAGCACAGGAAAGCAGGGTAGGCATGTTCTGCTTTTCCTACGAGGTGCAAGCAGAAATCATGGGATACTAGCTTCCTTCTCCATGAGGGATTTTTAGCAGAACCACTGGAGAATAGGAAAGCATCTTTAGACAGTAGCAAGATTGCTACAGCTAATTACATTAAACACTAGATGATGGTGATTCCACTGCAACATCGTAGATTCAAGACTCAGGCTTAGCTTGCCTCTGAATTAGCAACTTCCAAATACAGGAGGTTGCCTTCTCCCCTTCTTCAGAAGTCAAGTAGCTATCCTGCACATCTCCCTTAATCAACCATACAAAGCTGTCCCTAGACATTCATCTATACTCTGGAGTACACACACCCTTTCTATCTACTTTTCAATCTGCTCTACTTCCAGGCAAAGCTTTCTTTCATAATGGATATTAATATCTTTCCCTATATCACAAGAGATCACAAATCCTATTGGCCTTCATATTTCCAGACTAGAAATTCTAGTGTCATCTGCCATGGTATGAATTTTTCCATATTTTTAATCTGAAAATTTCATAGGCTCTTTTTATTTTCCTTAAAATATGGCAAAAGAATTATGTGCAGCTTTGCAGATTTGGACACTCTCCATTTCATATGTGAAAGATGCATTTTACTTGGCATTATAAAACAAACATTCCTCAGGAAAATGGTCCAGTATAATTCTGAGTTATTTCCAATATCACACTGGTAATGGAGACATAGCATTATGTACTATAGTATTCCTTATTTTGAAATTATAGTCCCTTTTCATGATAAACTCACCAGAAAACAAGGACATTTTTCAGTGTGGGTTTTGAATACAGTCGTAGGATAATTCACTCTGTGAACTCTAAGATACATGCAAGACCCTTATAAAAAAATCCTTGACCATGCCAATGGCCTATTTTCTTCACCTACAAAAATTATGCTAATATGTATGTTCCATAACATCTTTCATTTCTGCTTATGTCAATCATTTATTTATTTATTTATTTATTTATTTATTTATTTATTTATTTATTTATTTAGGTTTTTTCAAGACAGGGTTTCTCTGTATAGTTTTGGTGCCTGTCCTGGATCTTGCTCTGTAGACCAGGATGGCCTCAAACTCAGAGATCCACCTGGCTCTGCCTCCTGAGTGCTGGGGTTAAAGTCATGCGCCACCACCGCCCAGCCAATCATTTATTGAATATTTATTAAGTCTAACAGTCTTTGAAAGCTCACATAGCTAACAAATCAGATGATAGCTTGGCTTCTGACTTTACACTGAAAAGTCACAGAATCAAAGTGACAGAATTCTTTGTTAGCAGTCCCCAAGTGCAACAAGCATACTGTAGAGTTCCGTCTTGACCACATGTATACTATTGTGTGCTTGAAGAAATACAGCATGGATGGTTCTCTAGATCCCTACACATAGTTCTAATGACATCTGTTCTTTCAGTATCCTTTGTGTTTGAACTTGGCAAACTGGTTAAATTCTGGTTAGGTCTAGGTGCAGTTGGATTGGCAAGTCTTCCTCCTTCCATTTATTGGTAACTGGTTATAGCCACATCAAAGCCCTGAAATCTTTTTAGTGGTTTTTACTGTTATTATTTTTACATCCTGACTAGTTTCCCCTCCCTTCTCTCCTCCCAGTTCCTTCCCTGACTCTGCCCCTTCTCCCCACTCCACGCCTCCTCTGTTTCTATTCAGAAAAGGGCAGGCTTCCCATGGATATCAATAAAACATGGCATATCAAGTAGCAATAAGACTAGGCACTTCCCTTCATATTAAGGCTGGGCAAGGCAACCCAGTATGAGGAGTAGGGTCCCAAAAGCCAGCAAAAGAGTCAGAGACAGCCCCTGCTCCCACTGTTAGGAGTCCCACAAGAGGACTAAGCTACACAACTGTCACATATATGCAGAGTACCTAGGCCAGTCCCATGTATGTTCCCTGGTTGTCAGTTCAGTCTCTGTGAGCCACTATGAGCCTGGGTTAGTTGATTCTGTGGGGTTTTACCCCTCTGGCTCCTACAGTCCTTCCTTCCCTCTTCTGTAGGATTCCCAGAACTCTGCCTAATGTTAGGTTATGGGTCTCTACATCTGTTTCCATCAGCTGCTGGATGAAACCTCTCTGGTGACAACTGGGCTAGGCACCAATCTATGAGCATAGCAGAATAACATTAGGCATCATTACATTGACTTTTTTTTTCCTTTTTCTTTTTTTTTTCTAGTCATGTTTGGTTCTATTCTAGGTCTCTGGACTGTCCAGCTTCTGGGTCTTGGTGCACCAGACAGTGTCAGGGATGAAAGCCCTAAAATCTTAAGAAATTATATAGTATATATATATATATACTATATGTATGTATTCATATATTTAGAGTTGCTATTGTTTAATTACAATCCACTCAGCATGAGTATAAAATACTGTCTGGGGTATTTTTATCATCTGCTTGATATTTGGAGTGGTTATCTTCTATTTCCTGGTATATTTACTAATACTTAGAACTAATACACTTAAACTATTACCACTAAACTTCTCTAGAATACATACTCCGAGGGAAGAGAGACCCTGTGTTTTTAAACATCTACAACAGTGTCTGCCACTCATGAGTGCACACACATACATGGTCGTTTATATTAAGTTAGATGTCTATAAAATGCTGGTGGTTAGCATGCATCTAGTTAAAAACCTTTATAACTCTTCTGTTCTTTCATGTCTCCTTATAAGCTTTGGCCATGTGCAGTGTTAATGCTGCCATTCTTCCTGATGCCATTCTTGTAATAGATAAAGACCTATTCCTTTGTTTATTCATTTTTATAGTCATTTTTCCTTAATTTAAAATTTTAACATAGTTATATTATTTCCCTTTTCCCTTTCCTCCCCACACCCCCCATGCCACTCTCCCCTGTCCCCTTGCTTTCTCTCTTCAAATTCATGGCTTCTGGTTCCTTTTTCCTTACCCTAGACAAAGGCAACTAAAAGATGCTGAGTAGAAGAAGTGGTGTTCCCCAGGGAATACCAAGTGGGCAACCCTGAAATCATATACATACTAGTAACATTATAGGACTGAGCAGGTTGTGTTTATATATTTAGAAATGTGTAGACTATTATTTTTAATCTCTTTACTTCATTTCATGGAGTTCTAACCATTTTCTGTGGTGTTTTAAGTTAATTTAAGAACTCCATTTTCACTTAGAAAGTCTATGAGATATGTCTCTTACAAAGTTGTTAATTCAAAGACACGGATGAATTGATTAACAAACCATGTGTTCATTAAGGGCTACAATTTATCTCTGTACCCATCAGTATCTAATCCAGCATCTGCCACTAAGTAGGTACCAAACAAATACTGGATGAATAGGAGAGAGAGAGAGAGAGAGAGAGAGAGAGAGAGAGAGAGAGAGAGAGAGAGAGAGAGAATGTATGAGAGCAGAAGGATGGGGGCATCTATAGAATCATTTTTGTCCGCCTAAACGCAATATCCTCATCTGTGAAAGCTGAAGGTGGGACTTAGAATTGTTTTCACAATTAGGAGACCTGCTTAGAGGAAGGGGTGGAGTTTAAATAAAACACTTATTTCTGTGTTGATTCAGGAGATGAGACCAGAATTTCACATGCTTAAAATAAGAGCACCAGGTGCAATACAACTAGTTCTCACTGAACCACACAATCCTCCAGCAATAACATTCTTTGGTTCAAATACTAACTAACTAGCTGACAGGAAACTTTCTTTTACTTTTCAAAGCCCTATTCTGATTTGCCTTTTATCATCCTCACATAGAATTCACTGCCTCAGCCAGAGATGTCTTCGATAGGGAAGCTCTCTGCCCGAAGCACTAAACATCTGAGACTCACACCTGCTCCCTTCATGGATGAGAAGACCTCTTTGTCTCTGGTTAATATCAACCCATTCACTCCAGAGTCCTATAGAAAACTATTCCTTCAGTCAGAGGGCAAGAGGAAAACCAGAGGCGATCTGTAAGTGTCCAGTTCTCTTCATTTCTGAGAATTCCATTGGGCTGGTGCTAGAATAAGATTAGGAATAAGAACTCTACTTGAATGAAAGTGAAGTAGTGTGCATGTGTCCCTCATCCCTACATGTTAGTGCTGGTCACAGAAACCTGGGCGTCTTTCCATTCTGATGTGTACTTCAGGGAGCTTTTTGATAAAAGAGTCTGGCAGAGCAAGCAATAGATCTGACTTCCAGTAGAGAGCTGAATGTGCTAGGGACTGAATTTGATGGACTTGCTTTGGGTAATATGAGGCTAGCGGATGGGGAGACATTTATATTTCAAACTGTATATTGCTGCTTTGAATTTGGCCTGTGTTACCTGATGATACTAGAGATGAGAGTTACAGGGCAATTGTTTTAACTTCACTGTAGGTGATGGAAAACCGAAGAGGGTTAAAAGATAGTGCTGCTTCCAAAGGTGTTAATAAATGAAAAGTCAAAGTACCTTATTCCCTCAAATGCCACAGAATGGAAAAGTCACCTAAATAAGGATTATGCATGTTTCTTGGGGGCATTAGTTATTTTTGTTACATTTCTCTCTCTCTCTCTCTCTCTCTCTCTCTCTCTCTCTCTCTCTCTCTCTCTCTTTTCATTGTGTTCCTGTGTGCATGCATGTATGTGTGTTGTTGGAGGAAACATACATGTCCCAGCACATGACTGGAAGTCAGTGGACAGCTTAGGGAATCAGTCCTATTCTTCTACCATGTGGATCCTGGGGCTTGAACTCAGGTCACCAAGCTTGCTGGCAAGGGCCTTACCGTGCTGAGCCATCTCACTGCCCTTCCCCGTTTGCTAACTTGGGGATATTGCTTTACCAGTTTCCCTTGATACTTTGTTTTCTATAACGGAAACCGTTCTAAAATGGGGAAGCATTTGTGTCCATGCACACTGGCAACACAAGCAAACAGCTAACTGTCGGAGCTGTGTGGAACACCTAGTGCTCCCTTCCCCACTCAGTGAAGGCAGCAGGAAAAGAGAGAATTTAGATGAAAGTGGTGATGCCGTGGTGACATCTCTCAATGCTCATGAGAGGAAAGCCTTCTCTGGTATCTACTGTGTTGTCACTTTAAGTATCAGGGTGTAGTGTTAAGTTTAAGTCACACATGTTCATCAGTTGATTTCATGAACATAGTGTCATTTGCTTGCAATTTCTCTCCTGTATTTCTCTAAAAGAAACTGTCTGGTGTGTCCATTGGAATCTTGCCTATAGACCCAGAAAATGGCTTATGCAAAGAAGGATGTTTGCAAATGACTTCTTATTGCAAATTGAAGACCTCTTAGACAACATTATATTTCTGCTCTACTCAATGTCTGTGTACTGCATTGAAAGCTGGGCTCTGACAGGGGCAGTGTTGGAAAGAGAGCATAGTGTGGTTGTGAAGGAAAAATGCCTTGAGGTTAGACTTGGTTTAAAAGCCAAGTTATTCCACTTGCTAATTGTCGAACACGGAGTGGTTTAAGGTCTCAGTAAAATCCAAGTTCTTCCACTTCTAACTGTCAAACACAGAGTGGTTTAAGGTCTCAGTAAAAGCCAAGTTCTTCCACTTCTGTCAAACACAGGGTGGTTTAATGTCTCAGGTTTGGTTGGCTCCTTTGGGGAAAACAGCACCTACATTTAGTTCAGTGCTCTGCCTTGCTTCTGGGTCTTAGCACAGGGATTCTCAACCCGTGGGCGGCAACCCTTTGGGTTGAATAACCCTTTCACAGGGGTTGCATATCAGATATCCTGCATGTTTACATTATGATCCACAACAATAGCAAATTACAGTTATGAAGTAGCAATGAATATTATTTTCTGGTTGGTGGTCAACACAGCACGAGGAGCTGTATTAAAGGGTCCCAGCATTAGGAAGGTTGAGAACCACTGTCTCAGCACGTGGTAGTCTAATTACCTGAAGTGTCCACCCCTTTCCTCCTTCAGTTCCCATTCCTTCTTGCAATCTTAGCTTACATGTTCTCTTCAGGGAAAGCCTTTTGCCCTCCTGAGATACTCACATGACTGGTGCTCTTCATGGTCTCTCCCAATGCTGTTATCCTGTCTTAGGCTCGTGTATTAACTTTCTAGGTTATCTCTACTCAATGTAAAGTGAACCTAAAGTGAAGAGGGGAAGGAATTAATTTCCTTACAGCCACAGAACTTATCTTAATACCAGCCTCAGTGAGTGAGTCAGTGAGACATAATCTGTAATCATTCTTGCTCTAACCTTTTCCTTTTAGTGAGGAAACTGGAGAAGGGGGAAGCAAACCGGAACAGTGGCTGCCTGCTAAGGTGAGTGTGGTCTTTTGGTCCAGCGGTCACAACATCCTATTCATCCTATTCATCCTATTCATCATCTGTTTCTGCCTCTCTGTCTGCTTCCTACCCTTCTTGTTTTCTCTTTTTCTTCCTCCCTCCCCTCCTGCCCCTCATTCTTCCCCCTACTCCCTCTCAGTTCCCCCTCATGCTGCTTTTCCTAACCCCTCACTCTTTCCTCTACCCCTTAATCCCTTCCACCCCATTCTTCTCTACCCCATCCTTTTCTCTCCTTCTTCCTTCTTCCTCTCCCTTTCTCCTATTCTTTCTTTCATCCCCTTTCTTTCCCTTCCTCTCTCTGTCTCTCACACACACACACACACCACACACACACACACACACACACACACACACACACACACACACACACAATGGCTTTAGCAGTTTGTGTTGCAGCATAATTTACATCTGGATTATCAGTTATTTTAGCAAGCAGTAGCTGATACGTACATTGCTAAGTTATTAGATAATTCTTAAAAGTTTCTATTTCTGCTTTTAGTTTGGGGAAACCTTCTATACTGGACTAGAGATGGAATGAGAAAATTAAAAAATCAAAATCAAAAATGGAAATGGAAAAAGTGATATTGGTACAGAAATTTTTATGTAAAAATTTAGCTGTTAAATGTATCCTTATTTGTTCATTTTTATGATATCCCCCACATGGTAATATAACCTATCAAATTAATATTATAAACATTTGCCTCTGAAATGTTTCTCACATCTGGATTGCAATTGCTGAAAGCTGCAGAAGGCACTGAATGCCCAATAATAGGAGAATGGCTAGGTTAAATGTAAAGTCAGTAGGATATTAAATTGCTCTTAAGGTGTTTGCAAAATGTGGCAACATACCTCTTATGTATTCAGTGTGCAAAACTCGAAAATGTATACAATGGTTACACACATCACTCACTAATCACAGAGTCGGATGTTGCAGCGACAGCTGTTATTTCAATGCCTTTGAATGGCAGGAACCACACAGTTGTTCTCACTTCTAATTACCAAACTTTTCTTGAGCAAATCTTATTCTCATAAGTAAGTTAATTGTTTCCCCATTCTTTTCCTTTCTCTCTTTCTCTGTCTCCCTCTCTTCCTTGACATGGGGTTTCTCATAGCTCAGGCTAGCATGGAATTTTATGACCCTCCTGTCTCTGCCTCCTGAGTGCTAGGATTGCAGGTTTGGATATCACACTCCAATGGAGGTGGTATTTTTAAATGGCAGCACTTGGCTATTGTAACTGCCACAGAGAAGGCTGTGGGCATGGGCTTTGAATTTTCACATGTGAACATTCCCACTGTGCCCTCACTGCTTTTTCCTTTGAATTTTATTCCTTGTTTGTTTTATAAGCCACTAACTGGCTTCTGATTGAATGCCAAATATATTCATTAAATGGGGAAAATAGATCTATACATAAGTCCCTGGCCAGGAGAAACTAACATGTTTGAAGTATCAAAAGGATGCACACAAAAAATAAAGCAAAAAGATACCCATATCTGTATGAAGCTATACGTGAGCTTATGTGTGATGTGTAGATGTATGGAATATTTAAGGTCTGCAAGGGTAGTAAAAATAATCCTTGTTGAAAACAAAATGGTAGAACAAATATGTATAAAGGTAATTCTAGGCAAAGAAAAGAAGTAATTTATAATTTTCTGAAAGCAGGGTATGGGTCCTGTGTAAGAGCGTGGGTTGGGCAGTTGAGTGGCTGGCAGTGGTGTGGACACCGAGCTGGCCTGTTTGGTAGCTATAGGGTGAACAAAGTACTCAGTGTCAGTTGATAGGAGGGCTTTGGGTCTGTTGTCAGAATTTAACTTTCCCTTGGGAAACAACTAGGCTTTTAATTCTGCAGAACCATTTTGCAAAATTGTTCTTACTAGAGGAGTTGGGAAGAGAGCTGATGATGGAGGCAAATCCAGATATGGAGGAATCAGAGCTTAGGATTACCTAAGGGCAAAGGAAATTACAGATCTTGCTGATAAGGACTGATTGGAATTAGATGCAAAAATGATCAAATCATAGTCAAGATTTTTTTTTTAATTTGCTAAAGTTAGATGAGAAACATTCTTGCTAATTGGGGCATTAAAAAAGATGACGTTGGGGAGAGAAATCATGTTAAATTTAGATTCATGTGTAGTAGAGATTTTGATCATGATACTAGACTGTAAAATTTCCATGTGTTTACATTATACTAAGATAACTGTGATATGTTGATATATATTGTATCAACACATTATATACAAAATATATATACATAAACATATGTGCAATGACACATGTAATAAAACATTGTATATATATTATCACATAATATTAATGTACCCTGAGGAATCATTGTTATGATCTTCATCTTGGAGACAGAAAACTGAGGAGTTCAGTGATTTCCCTGGGTTGATTTACAAGTTGGAAAATGAGTGATATTAACAGCTGGCCACTAAGGGGAGGTAATGCTGAGCACATGTGATGGATTAATCCATTCGACAATGTTGTTTCCCAGACTAAGACTTCTATGAAAACAAACTGAAACAAGAAAATTTATTCAACTTGAGGTGGAAATTCAGCACCCAAGCCTTAATAAAGGTAGATAAAGGAGGTGTTGGTATTGTTTGTGCTTGCTCTGAACATGCTTTACATCCTTTAGCTGAGGACAGTAGTTCTGTGCTTCAGAAGCTGTGGGTCTCCCATCAGAACAGTCTGACCAGACGGAGGAAAGAACACTTAAAACAATGTGACCAGGGTCAGTACTGACTTGTATGCAGGGTTACAAAGGACACAGGCATGGCCAGCCATTGGCAAAACTCTTTGCTACCACGATTACCAACATAAAGAGAACCCATTGCATTTGCCTCACATTTTAAAAAGAAATTTAGGAAATGTAATATAGCTCTGTTTTATTGCTCATGGTATATAGGGAAACTTATTCCCTCTCTCTTTTTTAAATATTTTAGAGAAGTGTTCTACGAGAAACTAACATGGCTTCCCGCTATGAAAAAGAATTCTTGGAGGTAGAAAAAATTGGGGTTGGGGAATTTGGTACAGTCTACAAGTGCATTAAGAGGCTGGATGGATGTGTTTATGCAATAAAGCGCTCTACAAAACCATTCTCAGGAGTATCAAATGAGTGAGTACCTAAGAAAAGCACTGGACGAACAAACTTGGACTTGATACTGTATTGATTCTTAAAATAGTTTTAAAAAGAGCACCACCGATATTAATGAAAACACCCCATTTGCTTGATTTTAAATTTATCTCCACCATTGGATGGATGTCATTTTACATTCATAGCTTTACTGAATTGTCCAGAACACCAGTGGCACTTCCTGGAATAGAGCATGATAACTTTAGATCATGTTGTTGTTTGTAGTTATAGGAGCTCACCATTTAACTTTGGCTAGCCTAGAACCCACTAGGTAGACCAGGCTGGCCTTGAACTCAGAGATCTGCCTGCCTCCACTGGGATTAAAAGCATGCACTACCCCATGCATACCATTGTTATTTTAATTTCTTAGTTTTTCTGTCTACTGATCTTACTGCCATTCTAATGAATTGGATTTTGGAATGGTCTCCTGGTACCTATTTATGTTCATCTGAAATACTGTCAGACAGGAAATGCTATCAGTAGTTTATCTCTACTTTGAACTCTTCTACTTTACCTTTTGCAGCTATAATAAACACCAAGATGAAAAGCAATTTGTGGAGGAGGAAAAGGTTTATTTCATTTTATGCTTCTGGGTCACAATCCATCATGGAAAGAAGTCAGGGCAGAGACAGAACTATGAAGGCACACTGCTTACTGGCTTGCTCTCAGCCTGCTTTCTTCTACTTGTCTAAAGTTGGTACCTCCCACAGTGGGTTGGGCCCTCACACCAAATATCAAGCAAAACAACCTCTCACAGACATGGCTATAGGCCTATCTGATTTATACATTCCCTCTTCCCAGGTGGCTCCAACTTATATCCAGTTGACAGTAAAATTACCCAGTACATGTACTACTACTTCATTTGGTAGTGAAGTTTGATACTTTTTTTCAAAGAAAAACTATTAGGAATGTTGATATTTAACTCCCAGAACTAACTGTTCATCCTTTCCTATGATATAAGGAAAAACCTATTTTCAGATTGAGTAATGCTTTCGTGGGCTCCTTTCATCCACACTGACCATGCTGAGCCAGATACTACAGGCTTTTGTTTTTATATTGATGTCAGTCAAGGACAGAATAAGCTTTTCTTTTGCACTATGCATATGTCTCCCAAGGCTTTCCCCTATAATCCATCAGATTGGCTGAGTTTGATAATGGCACTAATGACTATCTAGTCTTCATGGAGGAGATAGTTCCATCAGAGTGTCTACAATCAAGTGTGTGATGGCCTTCTTATTATAATAGGCATAACACGATGCAATGTGTACTGTGATGCAATGAAATTAAGACCCAAAGCATTTCTGCTCTTGAGAGAGTGAGCACATGAGGTACCGCTCTATATGCCATGTTCAATGAATAAAGCACGAACTTTGGTACCAGGTTGACCAAAGTTCTGCTCTTAGGTCTGCCAGTTTCACCTTGGACCAGTCACTCACTCTTATCATGTTTTCCAATGTATCTTACCAAGAATCTAAAAAGACTGAGTAGATAAAATACTAAGCATACAGCAGGCCCTAGAAAAAATATTCTGTTATTTTTAATGCCTCCCATGATTCCCTTAAAAAATCTTTTAATCTATATTATCTCAATTAATTTTTCTAAATGCTTTTTTGTCCCTTGGGAGTTTGGATTTGCATGAAGTTTATGCTCATGCAGTGCTTGGCCATCACCCCCATGTGGTACGCTACTATTCTTCATGGGCAGAGGACGATCACGTGGTCATTCAGAATGAATACTGTAATGGTAAGTATGTAGATTAATACAGAGAAGGGGGATGAACTTTTTAACTTTAACTTTTTAAATCTTTGTAAATAAATCTACCTCCTCCCAGTTTAAGCCTTTACACACTGGAGTCACACTGAAGATGCTTGTGCTTGGAAGCAGAGATAAGAATAGTGTTGAAGAGGAGTGTGTGTGTGTGTGTGTGTGTGTGTGTGTGTGTGTGTGTGTGTGTATGTGTGTATGTGTGTATGTTTCACACAAAGCTAGTATAGCTCATATAAAAATGCTATTAATCCCTTCACAGTTTTATCTTATATTAAAAGAAAAAAGTTACCATACTAGTTTAAATAATTCTGTTACCATCTGCCAGGTACCTGGAATAGCATAAACTATATCATTTGGGGGAATGTTGGAATAAAGGTTCCTAGTTATAGTTGGTTTAGTAAAGGCTTTAACTATTTCACCTATTTTTCCATGGATCTCTGAGTTTACAGGTCTTTCGTATCTTTTGCTGCTTCAAACCTTTGATCTTAATTGTTCTCACCACAGTACAGGCAATGAGAAAAGTGCTGTGACCAAACTTGGTGCTTTCAGATGTATTTTTCACAAATTGAGTAAAATCTGCCCTAATTTTAGGGCCAGCAAGATATACTCTGACCATAGACCATTTGAAAATCCTCCTTACCCCAGCCAGGTTGAGTGTCTCTGTCTGTCTTCAGGTACTTTTAGTGCACACTTGAAGGCCCCAGGTATAGTTGTCCGGCCTGGCCTTGGAGTATAGTGATTGGTAACAAAACTTCAGTAGGAGGCAAATAAGTGAGTAGATAATATTGTGAAAGGCCAGGGAATGACACACACACATCTTGCTAAACAACAACTTGGCATTTCTCTTATTGTTTCCTTATAGAAATTTTTTTTTAGCCTTAACCTATGGTCTTTGCAGGCCTTGTCTTTTTTTCCCTCTTCTAAGCTCATTATCACCCCCTTTTGTTCTTAGTCTTTGGGGAGGTGCAGCCTTTCTCTATGCTTGATTAAGGCTTTTCTTAATCACCTTTTCTTCCCAATTCCCTTGTATTAAAACCTGAAGCTCCCTACTTTTTTCTCCTCCCCCCTTTCTAGAAGGAAAATTGGTTTGATTTCCATGATTTTTTTTGCTGTTAGCACAGATATGAAATAACAAAAATTAACTAATGCAGTAAAATGTTAATATGATGCAGAGTCAGTGAAAAAGTTCCCCAAACCTCAAAACTGGCAAGATGGGGAGGTTGCTTCAATCACAATCACCTTTTACTTCATTCCAGCATTTGCATGCCTTCTTTAAGGCTGACACTCTGCTAAACTCTAGGTAGAGTAATACCTGAGACCGAGATGGATAGAAAAGTCCTTCAAGATGCTTTGCTCCACTCATTCTGTCAGAAGAACTGCATAACTGACAATCTGGTGCAAAGCTGTCTGGTACAGACATGGGTAAAGAAGCAGAGAGGGAAATAGGACAGGGTACTGGAAGGGGCCTCGGTATTCAAGTTGAGAAGACTTGGTTTTACAGCCCAACTCTGATGCTTACTGCTTGTATAATTAATTACTGGAATGTCACTCAAAATTAGTGCATAAATGGATGGTAATAGTTATTACAGAAGTAATTTGAGAATTGACAACAGCACATGTGAAATATTACCAGAGACTCAATACCTGATGCATAATAAAAATTAGATCAGCTCCAGATTTCATAAGGGAGACAGTACTTGAATTAGAGCTTGCAGAAGAATTACTAGAGTTTAGGAAATCAGAGGGAAGGCATCCGGTTGTTGGAGCATCAGGCAGGCTAAAGGCAAAGAACTGAGAGTGGGTCTAACCTAACAGACAGTAGGAGACCCAACATGGGTGATCCTTGTGGTAAGAAATAATATCAGCAAGGTAAAAGATAGGGATAGTATATAGGACTTTAAAAACCAGGCAGTGGCCTTCAGGTTAGAAGTAGGTAGGTTACAGGTTACAGGGAGTTGTTTCATCATACTGACCCATTGCCTCCACAGGGTGATCATTCAGTGATGTAACTGATTTCGCAATTTGCAATTCTTACAGGTGGAGCCTTTCCAAGACCTCCTTCCTCCTCCTTCCTTGGCTCCACCCCCTACTTTTCCTTCCCTCTCATTTCATTCTTTTCATCCCAGGCCTCCCATTGCTCATCTCCTAACATCAAAGCAGTCAGACTGGGGCATGGACAGTTGTGATTTTAATTTAGGTGACACCATACATGATTTGGAGTCTTACACATATATATTAGATGACTATTAGTAGAGACCCACTGTCATAGAATTTTCCCTGTTGTCCATCTTAAGCCTGAACCAATCAGATGTCCTCTCCTTCTCCTTGATCCTTGTCAAGATGCCTTGAAAGTCACCTCTGGATGAGCCTAGCCAGCTAAAATGTCTCCAACAGATTCAACAGCCCCCAGGATTTCAACTGATTTGGAGTTTGATTATTTATCTCTCTGTAATGACAATATTTGTGCATTTGACATCTTCTGTCATTGAAATTCCATAAAGCCAACTCCTGATCCTACTTGTTAGAATACTATGACACATCAGGGTCAGGGTCAGCATGCACTGTGGAATGCCATACATGGTTGTATTTTTTCACTAAACAAGGAACAACTCTGTCAGTAGAAAATTACCAATATTACCGACAGCACTATAAAATGGTATTGTGAGGATATGCAAGTCTGAATAAAATATTCCATTGAATTTTTAACCTGCTTTTTACATCTTATTGTTAGAAGTTATTTGCTCTTTATTTTGTTTTGATATTTTTAGATCCTGTTGGCAGAGAGGAAAACAAGTACCTTTTAAAGGTGTTCTTTTTGCCAAGGGGTAAAGTGCTTTTGATTTATAATCACAAGGACAAGCTGCACATGGCAAAACATGTTTTCCATAGAGGCACATGAATAACAGCAGCTGAAGTAAACTCACTCCTATCCGCTACACCTGAAAGGAGCTTGAAAACACACTCCAAGAACAAGTCTGTGTTTTGAAGAAACTGAGGTCACAAGACTCTTGTTTTCTTGGAGTTTTCTCACAATTACTCAGAGTTCTCACATGACTCCATTCTTGAACCATGTTCTGACAGAGGTCCTTGACTTACTTGCTTTCTCTGTCGCCAGGGTAAACATCTAATTCAGAAAATTAGATTCCCATGTAGGAATGCCCAGGCTGGCTGCAGTCAGTAGAGTTCTCCTGGATGCAGGCCCCTCCTCCTTGTTTACATGTAATAACCTCACCTACAAATTCAATTTCACAGTAACTTCATTTTAAACAAAATTGAAAGTATTTGCTTTCCATACACAAATTCTTCTAAGATTCCTAGAGAAATAACCTTTTGCTATCTCTGTGTGTGTGTTGAAAAGGGGTGGGTTTTTCTTACTAAATGTACTTATTTTAGCATGACAAATTGGCCTTTAATGTTTACATGGGATGCATTTAAGTACAGATGTTCTTAACACTCTATTATTTTAGACCCTTCTGTTGCAAACTGGATGGTAGTTTTGGACCTGCTAATGGGAGCCAGGACTCTAATTCATTAAACAAAGTTTTCAGAAACTATCTAACACCTTAGGGTGAGTGTCCAAGTCCAGGTGTGGCATATGGACTCAGGACTTACATTTTGTTGATGACAAAGATAAATCAAGATAGTCTACACCCAATGTACAAATACTGGGGTTGAAACAGGATTCAGGCAAATAAAGAGCTTTTAAATTTTCTTTGAGTCACAACCATTAAGCTTCTAACTATGATCTATCATTAATGGAATAAGAGTCACAGTGAAATTACTAATGCTCTTTAAATACTAGTCTGACTTTGACATGGGATCGATTTAAACACCAACGGTAACTACCCAAGTTGGCTTGATTGTCTTATGGCTAATAATTAGGTAGAACTCTTAAAACGTTAGTTGTCACATACCTGAGGTAGGGAGTTACATATTATATCTCTGGCCATATGTTAAGAACCTAGAATCTTAATTTCTTCTTTCAAAGTCCTGAAATCCTAACATCTATGGCACCGTCCTGGGACTGATACTGTGTGCTTTGTGCTGACACGGAACTGAGATTTGTTCAAGTCTCTCATGATCATCTCCTATGCCTTCTCTGCCTGTGAGCCTCACATCTGTTTCTTTGTCGGCTTGTTCTCTACAATTCCTGCCCAGGTGGGAGCTTGCAGGCCGCGATATCTGAAAATGCTGCATCTGGCAATCACTTCCAGGAGCCCAAACTCAAAGACATCCTCCTCCAGGTCTCCTTGGGACTTAAGTACATCCACAACTTTGGCATGGTACACCTGGACATCAAACCCAGTTAGTATTTTTTTCTGTCTATATTCCTTCTGTAGTTTGTCTATTTTATCTACCATCGTGAAAATGTGCACCTGTGTACGTACCTTCACTCTCAAAGATAGTATTGTCTGGAAGAATTACTTTCTTCCATTCATTTCCCCTAGCAAACTCAAATATCTTTAACCATTTCCTCCTCGAGTTAGGGGACACAAGGGGAAAAGACACTTTCTCCTATAGAGCAAAAATATAAAACTAGATGTTTAATTCACCATATAGAAAACTGACAGTGTGTCAACTACATTCTGATTGTGTTTGTAACTAGTACTGTATTTTCTCTAAGTCAGCCCTGATCAGAGTGAACAGAATGAATGTGTTTATCACTTTCCAGTGTGAAACCTAAGGAGAAGTTATTATTTTATGGGTTTTATTTATTTTGAGATAGCACGTAACCATGCTCTTCAGAGGATGGGGACTATATGAGGTCAGTTCAACTTAGACAAGTGTTATCCATCCATCACTGGCTGTTCTGATCTGATGTAAGAGATTAATTACATAGAGCCACATATGTGCACCCAGGAGGCAGATGTAGGCTGATCCCTGTGTGTCCAAGACCAGCCTGACCTACATAATGAGTTGTAGGCTATCCAGAGCTATACAGTAAGACAGAGATAGGGAATCTGAGCGTGACACACACATACACACAGAGAAAGATTATATAGAAAAATTAAAATTCAAAGATTAGTAGTCATTCCACAACCACACCAAAGGAGAAAAGCTGCAAGGTCATGGCCATGAAAGGCTCTTTGTGCAGTGGGAGCTCAGAAATCGTTACTTATGTCTATTCTATTTTTTTTCAGGTAACATCTTCATTTGTCGTAAGATGCAGAGTGACTCTCCTGTAGGCCCAGAAGAGGCTGAGAGTGAGGCTGACTGGTTTCTCTCTGCCAACGTGATATATAAAATTGGTGAGTCTGTTTCTACCCCATCTGCATATTACTCTGTAATTAAGCTGATGACTACATTTACTCCATCTTCAAGAAAGCCATGTTCTTTAAAACAGCCTCTCTTTCCTTTTTAAAAGGTGACCTGGGCCATGTGACATCCATCAGGAAGCCCAAAGTGGAAGAAGGAGATATTCGCTTCTTGGCTAAGGAGATCTTGCAAGAGGTATAAGTTAAGGAAATGGGAGGGGAAATCATTTTTTTTTGTCATTTAAAAATTTTTTTGACACAGAATCTTGCTATGTTGTCCAATATGGCTGCCGCAAACTTGTGGCCTTCTGTCCTTAGTTTCCCAAGAAGCTGAGACTACAAATGTGCAATGAATTTTATAATTCATTCAACTGTTTGACTCTCAGATGAAGGCTCATGGTGCCCCAAATGAAGAGTATATATCTGTAATTCAAACTAATAAAGTCTCTTTTTCCATTCAGAATAGAAATCAAATACAGTAAAGAAATTCCCCCAAAGCATAGGAATGTTATCACCATCAACAATGAATCAATATTTACATAGTTCCTTCTAAAGGTCTCTCACTTTTTCTAGTATTTCTTAGAATTCTTAGCCTAGTGGGTTGCATAAGAGAAAGGAAACCCTCTCTTCATGGTCATGTTGTCTTTATCGTGTTATCTTCTTGATAACCCACCAGCTCTGATCACTAAAATGACTGTTAGTGGTTGCCCATCTTCTAGGATTCCTGTTGAGTCTGATCTAGCAAGACTATAACTTCCTTCAGGGGAAAAAGTCTTTTCTTATGATCAGCTAATTAAGCCTCAGTGAATCTGACAGAGCAAAATGATGCTGAGATTCTACCCTAGGCTTTCAGGGCTCAGCAATATTACTAAGGTTTGTTTATGTTCCCTTTAGCTTCTTAGGTATAAACCATCAACTACAGTAAATATAACTATGCCATGGCATTGAGAGCTTATGTATAATCAGACCTCTGCCCATCACATCTTAGACTCACTCTGCTTGGCAGACTAACTGGTCTTCCTGTCTTCCGTTTTGTAGAATTATCAATACCTTCCCAAAGCAGACATATTCGCCTTGGGGTTAACGATTGCAATGGCTGCAGGAGCAGAGTCATTACCCATTAATGGTGACATGTGGCATCATATCCGCAAGGGGAACTTTCCAGACGTTGTCCAGGAGCTCTCAGATGACTTTTATGGTCTACTCAAGGTGACACCTCTTATGAGATGAAATGAAGATGAAACATCTGTATTTTAAGTGTGATGACAAGTGTGGTGGTTGTGGAGCGGGGGGTAGGTAAATATGAATTTGGTTAGGGTCATGTGTGAACATGAAGGAGGAAGGAGGAAGTAGGAAGTTCAGATACGACAGGGCACATTGAAACTGTTTTTAAAGATTTATTTATTTATTATGTACACAGTGTTCTGTCTGCATGTCTGCTTGCAGGACAGAAGAGGGCACCAGATCTCATTATAGATGGTTGTGAGCAACCATGAGGTTTCTGGGAGTTGAATTCAGGTCCTCTGGAAGAGCAGCCAGTGCTCTTAACCACTGGGCCATCTCTCCAGCCCCAGATTGAAACTTCTTATGGAAACCTAACTTCTACAATACCCTCATGTGGACACTTTTTATTTGTTCCTAGCAACCTCCTCAAAATGGCAGGTGGCACATCTTTCTGCAGCAGAGGAAACTCAAACTCAGAGGGGCTCTTGTATTCAGTTAATATTTGGTAATTCTAAATTCCAGCCTCGTCTTTCCCCTCCACCATCAGGGTATGCACTGTTGTCAATGGCCAATGATGACAAAATTTTCTAAAAGAATCATTTCATGAATATCTTTAAAAGTATAAGCAACTTTTGGTAGTTGGCAATACCACCCATTTGAGGTATTGGGGAAAAGGTACAATGTCAATTGAAAAATTTGTGATATTTGTTTTTATAGATAAGTATGCATAAGGATAACAAAGGGGAGTATTAGATTGGAACACAGAGAGCTTCAAAAACAAAACACAACAAACAGCACCCAAAACAGACCTCAACAACCTTATCAAGAAGTTTAGAGTCTGCCCACCTCCTCAAAAAATTCATGGGTTAGAAAACAAGGTTGGTTAGGGTCCCTAACATTGCTTTAGAAATACCTACTTCCTTGAACATTAGAGTTCTATTTTTGACCTACAAATTTCAAATGTAGTTACTGATTCTTCCTTCTACTTCTATTTTTCTGTCCTGGAAAGAGGAAAACCTTTCCTTTGTTCCTTTGCTGATAGCCTAATCATTCATTCACTCATATATGTATATATACACATATATCTCATGTATAAATGAACCTTAGATTTAGTTCGTATTTACTAGGTGCTTAAACGCTAGCCCTGTGCTACGTATACCATATAATTTATGTTAATTGACTTAACCCTCACAACATGCCCAGAAAGAGATTAGCATTATCCTGGATTTCAGATAAAATGAACTTTGGTATAGTTATAGAGTAAATGGTGGTGCTTGCTCTGAACGTGGATCCCAAATAGGGAAAGTTCAGTGTATTTGTCATCCTGTGACACCATTAATTACATACATAGAGATGCTGATATATTAATCACAGGCTAATACCCACAATATGCAAGTCACCTTAGGCTACAGATCTCCTCTGCCTGGAGATAAGTATTTCAGAGTTATTAAGGGATAAAGGAGTACAATGCAGTGGAAAGTACTCTGAACTGAATTGGGTGAACTTGGAACTAAGTTGAGTGAATTGGGTTTTGGTCTTGGCCTTTCTTATAACTTGGACATAGCTCCAGTTTTTCCCTTTAAAATTAAAATGTTAGACTAGTAAATCAGCAAACCAGCTAGCTTTCAAACACGACAATTAAATCCAAGTCATAAGTACAGACAAATGATGTTACCAGACATGGGTGATCCTTCTGTTCAAGATGGAACAAAGCTTTCACTGAGGAAAAGCAGTTTCACAACACTCAGCAGATGTTGAACTGAAGTTGGCTTAAATGGGGAGATGCTGCCTCTATCTTCTGTTTTCTTCCATGGCCCTAAATCTATCTTTAGAACATGATCCACCCTGATCCAGAGCAGAGACCTTCAGCAGCAGCTCTGGCCAGAAGTCGAATTCTCCGGCCCTTTATGGAGAAAACAGAGGAACTCCAGAAGCAACTGAACTTGGAGAAGTCCAAGATAGCCACACTGGAAAGGTACAGTTGGTTGTTGGAGTCAAGAAAGGGTCTGTTTGAACAACTCACAGTGGTCTGACTGGACTGATGGGTGTCTATGGATTCAAGTCTATGCACATTCTACATCATCAGACTTAGCACACTGCCAGGCTTCTTGTAGGCAGAGCCTGTGTTTTATGGTGTGGGACTCTGCAGCTCTGTGACTAGGCAGCTTGAGAGAAGTCCAGGTAATGCAAAGGAAGCAAGAGGAAAGAATACAAAGAAACCCCAGTGATAAGGGAGTCCTTGGACTCTGAGGGACAGCAAGTATCAAAGTAGCTGCTTGCTGGTCACCTAATATAATCTTAGCCAAGTAGAAGTCTGTTTTAGGATCTTAGGTGAACAGAGAACTTCTTTAGAAAGCACTAAGCTGCAAGGACAGAAGGCAGACATCGAATCCTGATAATATATGTAGAGGATTATGTTTTTCTGAGCAAAGGAGGCAATCTCATTTCTGGTTGATGTAAACTCGTATTCATTTATTGATTTATTCCTTCAGCAAACAAACAGGAATTAGTTTGGTGTGGTTGGAAGAGGTCATGCAATGATGTTTAAGTAGAATTTTAAAGGAATTCTTAGTTGATTATTGCGTCATATGTGCACTATTGAAAATAAAAAGAAAATGAAATATGATCCTTGCTTGACATTTGCCTAGCAGTCCAACTTTGTTTAGCTGCAGCCCATCTTGGAAGGATTCACTTGAAAGCTTGAATGGTCACTAAACCCGTGTTTTGGTTCTGAGCTGCAGAGACTCTCAGCCTTTAGGCAGGTAATCAGTTATTCCCAATAAACCACTTCATAGTTTTTGCTCTTTTTGAGTTTCATTGTGTCAGGTAGTAAACTACAAAATACCCATATAAGTTGTTGAAAAAGATGCAAATCTCTGCGAAAGTGTGTATACATATTCTGTGAGCCTAAGCTGGAGGTACAAGTGACTGTCATAGTGAATGCAAATGATCATAGAGATCATAGAGATAGACAGGGCAGATGGCGTCTTGAAACTGTCTGAACAGTGGCTCTCAACCTTCCTAATGCTTGAGACCCTTTAAAACAGATCCCCATGTGGTGGTGACCCCCAACCATAGAATTATTTTCATTGCTACTTCATAACTAATTACGAATTCATAACTACTGTTATGAATTTTAATTAAATATCTGTGTTTTCTAATGGTCTTAGGTGACTCCTATGAAAGGGTCATTTGGCCCCCAAAGGGGTCATGACCCATGGTTGAGAACTGCTGGTCTAGACTAATTGGTGGTAAACTTTTTCTGTAAAGGATTAGCTATTAAATGGTTCATGCTTTGTATGATTTCTCCTGTAATGATTCAACCTGTCACTGATGAGTGAAAACAACCACTGAATATATATATTATATATATAATATATATAGTATGTATGTATATCTGATAAAAATGATTAACTGTGTTTCAATAAGATCTGTGGTTTATTGCTCTCACAGTTCTTATATTTTGACTAAAGAGTTGTTCACTTAGAATTTTAATGTTAAAGGTGATTTATGAACAATGCATGTATAAAACTTTTTAATGATAGTAAGAATCATTCGAACTGATTCTTCTATTCTGCATATAGCTCGGGCTTGACTTTGTAAAACTGAAATAAAAAGAGCGACTAGCTGTGAGTATAAATACTACCTCTAGCCAGGCGGTGGTGGCGCATGCCTTTAATCCCAGCACTCGGGAGGCAGAGCCAGGCGGGTCGCTGTGAGTTCGAGGCCAGCCTGGGCTACCAAGTGGAGGAAAGGCGCAAAGCTACACAGAGAAACCCTGTCTCGAAAAACCAAAAATAAATAAATAAATAAATAAATAAATAAATAAATAAATAAATACTACCTCTAACTAGGGAAGAATTTACCCATGCCTGTCCCCTCTGATTGCAGGGAACTGATAAAAGCTCAGCAAATCCAGACCCCTCAAAGATACATCCACTATGGTGATCCTGGGACCTCTGGGAAGCATGAAGACTCAAGAAGCATAAGAGACATGGTAGGAGGAATGAGTGCAGCGTCCTCAAGATTCACCTGTGGGAAATTCTCCTTATAAGCACTCCCTTCTCACAAGCCAGCCTTCTGCCACACAGCCTTCAGAAAAATGTACAGGATACAAGAATGAACCAGCTTGAATGCACAAGGATTTCAAAAGCCATCCAATGTATAGCATCTATAGGCAAGGTTACAAAGCTTCTAGGGTTTCTTAGCAATGCTCTCACATCTTTCCTATTGTCATATTTCTAGTGCCATTTACTGAGGATTTCTGGTGAATAATGAGAAAACATGCCTCATCATTGAAAGAGGAACAGAAACACTATTTTGGCCCATGGACCAGGAAGGTGCCGTAACTTATTCTTCACTGCGGATCCAGGGAACTTTCTCTGTACATAGAAAGGAATAAAATACAGCTTTAAGTACCAGCTTACAAGAGAACGTTGCCTATATTTTAGCAGTGCCTCCTAAGTTGTATCTACTCCTACAACTGCCAGCCCCTTAGAGCAGGGAGTTTGCCTAATATGTTTTCTGGATGGAAGAAATCTCTCATCTGATTTTGTATTAGTAAATAAAAGGCTATTGTTATATGAAACAATTAGAAGTAAGACTATAATGTGGACATTCCTGAGCTGCTTATTAACTTCTGAAACAAAATCAGCAGAGGCAGAGGGCTTGGGGAAGTTTGATATACCTGCTCCCTATGTGTTCTAGACCTCTTGTGGTTGTTTTCCACATCCTAGTCTCTTGTGGCTGACTCCTATTGCTTTTGAGTTTTTGAACATCATCACCAGGTTCTCTTGATTTTTTTAAAAACCAGAATTTGTTTTTGTTTTCTGTGCTTTTAACATATTTTAATCCAAACGTTTCCCTCTTTGTTCACTTAGAGAAACAGAGCATTTGTAAATAAAGATTTTTATCTTGTCCAAAGACAAACATGGGTAAAGCATTCTTCTTTGTAATATGTACAAAGAATGTGAACTTTATTTTAGAATTTCTTACAAGTAAGAGAAAATGTAGGTCAGTAGTAACATGTCTTTGTGTCAACATGAACCCAACTGCATAGGTACAAAATCAATAATGGCTACAAAATATTGGCCATAAATATATTTTTTTGCAATCTCAATGAAGACAATCTGTTAAAAATTTAAAATTAAGAAAATATCCCTACTGACTGTAAAGCATTTCTAAAGTTGCTTTCAAAAAGACTTAAAACACATGCTACTTTAATTTGCTTATGAGGAAGGACTATAATCTTTTCACAGTCATTGGAAGGCTTTATGTAAAAAGATGATTAGACTTTCCAAAGGTTTTTGTTGTCATTGTTCATTTGTTTGCACCAACTTTCTGTTTCCAACACTTTCTGTTTATGGAAAAGTATTGTCATCCATGGTTGGAATGTCAAATACATAGAGAGAAAAAAAGGCAAGGCCAAAGATAACACAGTACTCTGAACTCCTGGGCATAGATACATACTTTCCTTCTTCAGTCGGTTTTGGAGGATTTGAAATCTGTAGTCTACTACCATGAGGAATTAAACTTGAGTAAAACTCTGGTGCATCATAGTCATCACATTCCACCAGGAAGAGTCTGTGTCCAAGGATGAATTACTTGATCAATCAATCTCAATCCCCCCTTCTCCTTTTCTCTCTCCTGTCTTGTTGTAGTCACTGTTCTATAGCTGTGAAGAGACAGCATGACCAAGGCAGCTCTTATTTTTTTAAGCATTCAATTAAAGGCTTGCTTATAGTGTTAGAGGATTAGTCCATTATCATCATTGTGGGAAGCAGATGGGCATGTCCCTTGAAGCAGTAGCTGAGAGCTTTACATCCTGATCTGTAGGCAGCAGACAGATACACTAGGCCTGGGGAGATTTTGCAACCTCAAAGCCCATCCCCAGTGACACACTTCTTCCAAGAAGACCACACCTATTCCAACAAAGCCATACCTCCAATCCTCCTAATCCTTCCCAAACAGTTCTCCTACCTGGGAACTAAACATTAAAATATGAGTCTATGGGGGACATTCTCATTCAAATCCCCCCATCCCTGTACTTCTCTCCCTCTCTATGGAAAGGGTTCTAGGTTCCCTTATAATGACACTGAAGCAAATTATAGATTCTTCAATCACTAACAAAACATTTTAGCCATTTCTTTTCAGTTTAGTTAATTTTTTAAGGTTCCTCAATATTTCAGTATATTTGAATTTGCCTGAACTCATATTTCCATTCATGTTTTTGTGTCCCGTCCTGAGACTTGAGCCTTTGTGAAGCTTATGCTTGTTTTAAGGTACACTGTAAACTGTAAACTGTATATTCATAACAGGTTCTTTGCATTTTAGGAGCTTATCACCAATGGAGATGAGGCACCTTCATGGTCATTTACATTATAATATGCAAAGGGGGAGAGGGGTGACTAGTTGAGTAAGAATTTTTAAAGTGTGTTTGGGGGGTGCACTTCAAATGTTGACACTGGCAGCTGACCAAGGTTGAAGTGCCTGTTGCATTGAGAAGGATCCATGAACAGGAGAAATGCTTCAATTACAATTCCTCCCTAACACTGTACAACTATACATATAATACTTTTTTTTTTTTGTTAAAAAGGGAAAAAAATAAATGGAGCTGCACTTGCAACTTTTTCCAGCCAAGCATCTAAAGAGAATGTGTCAATTCTGAGTGGAAAACAATGCTCAGCCAAGACTCCCCATTCAGGTGTCATTTATAAAATTTTAAGAGTTTTGCTCTAGGGTGCCCACAATTTGCAGGGAAAAGCCTATATTTTTCTTTAAACAACTTTCTCTACATCCTTCACATAGAACCAAGTGTGTGTAACCTGGAAAAAGAGTTAAGATTTATCCCACAGTTCAAATCAGGAACCATTGAAACAAAGCTTGCAAGATGGGTGGGGAATTTCACTCTGGAGGCAAAGGTGAATTTAGTTTTTCCTTTGCTTGTCCAAAAAGCAGAAGCAGGATTTTAAAGAGGAAGCCATTGGAACGCACCAAAGTAATGTAGTAGTAGGTGGGATGTGTCATTATCAATAGTAGTGCAAGTCTCCAAGACAGTACCTCATTTCAGGAAATCAACTTTGTCATGGTGTAAATACAGGGGGACAAACATCTATAAACATACCACTAGTGAGCCAGACTTCAGAGCAGGTTAAAATGTAACTTGAAAATCATGTTAAATAGGTCAGATTTTTTTTTTTTTTATTAAAATGGCAAGTGTTTTAGGGTTTCTACTACTGTGAAGAGACACCATAACCACAAGTCTTATAAAAGAAAAACATTTAATTGTGGTGGCTTACATTTTCAGTTTAGTCTGTTATTACCATGGTGTGATATGGTGGTGTATAGGCAGACATGGTGCTGGAGAAGTAGTCGAGCGTCCTACATCTCGACTTGCAAGCAACAGGAAGTGGTCTGAGACACTGGGTATATCTTGAGCATAGAACACCTCATAGTGACATACTTTCTCCAATAGTGCCTCCTAATAGTGCCTTTCTCTTTGGGGGCCATTTTCTTTCAAACCACCACAACAAGGATGTACCTGGGGAGGCAATGTGTGTGTTTGAATGATCTGGAGGTCCCTTCCTTCTCAAATTGGACAATGACAAAAAACTGGGCATAGAGTATGGAGCCCCATATCTAGGCTGCCTTGGGTTCTTTAACCTGTAGGACTCAATACATGTGTCTCCACTAGGGCCAGGATTAGGGTAAACAGTGCAGGATTTAAAGGAGTGGAAGAAATTCAGCAATGAAGATAAATGATGTCTCAATGCAGTATTTTGGAAATGTTAAAACTAAAAATTATACTATGAATACAATACCAAAGACAAAGATCAAATAAGCTTAAGTTAATTGAAATTATTTAAGACTGTTAGTGCTGGGTGTGGTGGCACACGCTTTTAATCACTGCACCAGGGAGAAAAGGCAAGGAGATTTCTGTGAGTTAGAGGACAACCTGGTCTGGTCTACATAGTGAGTTTCAGGCCAGTCAGGGCTACACAGTGAGACCCTGGCTTTTTTTTTTTTTTTTTAAGCCAGAGTTGTGGAATTGAAACACAAAATACAAAAAAGTACATTCTGAAAATAGAGATCAGTTTCTTTCTATTAAAGCTTATAAGTAGAAATCTTAATTACACTTTGCTTTCAAGTACAGCAATGTTGTGAGTTTTAATACTACTTTAAAATGTTTTGAAATTTCATCAACTTTTAATGTTTTAGAAAAAGAAAAACCACGAAATATAAGGGTCCATTTTTCCTTGTGCCTCAGGTACAGTTCTGGACTTGTATTTAATAAAAATGTTAATATTCTGCTCCTCCCGTATTTCTTGAATTGATTCTGACTTCACATATTAGCATATCTAGATCGCCTAGTTTTTGACAGACCTTCAAATTTACGATTTTTGCACCTTTGTCTTAATTTTCCAGTCTGTCTTATTACATTAGGAAACTTGGGTCGGTTTCAGCTTCTCTAGGGGTTGAACTATGTTTTATTTCACCTACCTTGCTCCCTCTCTCAGGCTGGAAACATCATCAAATAATTTCAGTTCAGTGCTAGGAATATAGTTCAGAGGCAGAGAGTTTGGTTGGCCCGTGCGAGGGCACTGCTCTGTCCAATAAACAGCAGGAAAGGGGAAAAAACCTGTTATTCTCACTTCTAATCTATTGTCTGCTAATATTTCTTTAAAATACAAGTTTTCTAATTTGTTCAGCTATTCTAAACCCCTGCGGGTAGCGACCATTCAGGGGGGAAAAAAAATGACGCCGGTGGCGTTGTTGATCCCCCCACTTCCGCCTGGCAAGAAGTTCCCGGCACTTCTAAGTTGCGGGATCGTGTTTCCCTTGATATCAGCCGGCAGCATTTCAATGGCGCACAGCAGAGTTCCTGTTTTCCCTCGCCTATCGCGAGCTTTGCGGGCTCTGTGCGCCGGAAGCGAGCCTCTAGGAGGGTTGCAGTCGGGTGCTGTGCGTCTGGTGAGGGAAGCGGGACGGTGGGAGCATAGTTGTGTCCCGAGTGCGCGCTCGCTCGTGCGGGATTGGGGGCAGGTGTGCGGTTCCTTGCAGGAGGCCGAGGATCCCCGCTGCTCCCCGAGTTGCTGCCGCGAGTGTCACTTTGGGGAAAGGCACCAGCTGACTCCCGTGGGCACGCTGGGGGGGTGGGGGAGGGCATACCCAGCGCCAACGGGAACAGACACTGATTTTCTTTTCTTTTTAAACTGTAACGACTTTTGTATATGACTAATAGCAGTATTTGTTGAGCCCTACTGTTTACTGGAGACATTTTTAGGGGTTTAGAATAACTTGAACAAATTAGAAAAATTCTCTAAGGGAACTTGTATTTTAAAGACATTTTAGCAGACAATGGATTGGAATTGAGAATAGCAGGGTTTCTTCTTTTTTTTTCTCCCCTGCTGGTTATTGGACAGAGAA